TGCAAGAAGCTTGCGAGTGACTCTGGCCAACAGCCAAAAAGGCAACGTGAACCTCAGTCTTACAGTCAGAAGGGACTAGATTCCACCAACAACCGGAATAAGCTTGGAAGTAGATCTTTTCCTTGAGCCTTGAGATAAGAGCCCTGCTTGACCAACACGTTGATTTTGGCGTTGCGGTACCCTGAACATAGAAGCCAGACCAACCCACCTGGCTTCTGACCTACAGAACTGTGAACTAACCAATTCATGTTTTAAGCTACTAAGTTTGTGGTACTTTATTATGGAGCACAGACAACTAATATATTAGCTAAAGATCTCCATTTTATTCTTTTAGTGATTGCCATAGGGTTTATAATATGTATCCTTAACCTGTCACTGTCTGCTACTGAATAATATTATACCACTTTCTGTATAACTAAGAACTTAACAGTATACCTTCCACTCACCCCTTCTTGTCCGTTGTGCTATTGTTGTCATAATTTTATCGCTAAATATGTTTAAAACCTCACAATATAGTTACATTTTTGCTTTAAATATCAATTATACTTAAAAGATAAAAAATTAGAAAATAAATCTTTTACATTTGTCCACATATTTACTATTTTCAGTTAGCATCAGTGCTCATATAGATTTGAAGTTCTATCTGGTATCATATTCTTCATCCCTTTAGTATTTCTTGTGGTGGAAGTCTACTGACAATGAATTTTCTCAGCTTCTGTTTGTCTGAAAATCAAGTCTTTCACCTTTGACAGTTTTTCTCCCTTAAGAGGACATTAAAGATGCCATTCTCTTGTTTTCTGGCTCTCATCATTTTACATGAAAAGTCTGTGGTAATTCTCATCTTTATTTTTCTGTATGGAAGAAGTCTTTTTCCTCCAGCAGCTTTTAAGATTTTCTCTTTATCGCAGATCTTTAGCAATTTGATTGCACTGTGACTTGATGTGATTTTCTCTGGATATATTCCTTATTTAGCTTCTTAGATATGTGGGTTTATACTTTTCAGGAAATTTGGAAAAACTTTACCCATTATTTCTTCAAATTTTTTTTCCATATGGCCCACTCCTCCTTTAAGGCTCCAGTACACTTTATATATTAGACTGTTTGACATTTTCTCAAGTTCACTGAAGTTCTGTTAATTTTTAAAATCTTTCTTTCTCTGATTTATTTTGGATAGTTTCTATTGGGATATATTCAATTTAAAAATCTTTTCTTCTGCAGTATCTAATCTACTATTATTTTTACTGAGTGGCTTTTTAATTTCAGGTAACATCTTTTTAATTTTTAAATGTTCACTTTGGTTCTCTTTGATGTCTTGTTTCTCTTGTTGTTTTCACTTAACTTCTTGAATCTATGTAATTTAGTTGTTTAATGCTCTTGTCTGCTAATTCCAATATTTCTGCCATTTCTATATTTGTTTTTATTGAATGAGTTTTCTCCTCCTTAAAGATTTCCTACTTCTTGGAATGTCTAGTAGTTTCTGGCTGGATGTTGGATTGTTGGATACTGTAATGTTGCATATTGTTGAATGTCTGGATTTTGTTATCTTTCTTTAAATAATGTAGAATTTTGTATTTGCAGGCATTTAAGTTACTTGTGGATCAGCTTGATTTTTTTTTTGAGGCTTGTTTTTAAGCATCGTTGGGGTGGATCTGAAGTAGCCTTTACGTCAAGGCTACTTTAGCATCACTATTTAGGTATGAACTTCCTAGGTCTCTACTGAAGGCCTGTTGCAGCCAACAAGCCCTCTCTCTGTGATTGGTCAGAACTTGAATACCTCTGCGTCCTGCTGAGCCCTGAGAACTCTCTAACCCACAGCTTGTGGGAAGTAGAATTCTAAAATGACCTCAGTGATACTCACTCTTGTATAATCCCCTCCCTCTGGGTTTTGGAAGATTGTGTGAATACAATCAATCCTGTGATTACGTGACTTTACATGGCAAAAGGAGAATCATCCAAGGTGGGCCTGACCTTATCAGGTGAGCCTTTTAAGAACAGAGATTTCCCTCGCTGATTGCAGAGGAAAAAGTCCAATATATGAAAAAGCTGATTTATACATTTAGTCCAAATGTCTAGTTGTTTATGATGGGAAGCCAAGTCTAGTACTAGTTATTTGATCATGGAATCTTAAAATTCATTTAATTCACTTAATTTGGAGCTCACTAAATCCTCCTCTTATTAGCTAATCTTTAAAACTAGAGGAACTTGAGTTGGAAGGAAAGGAATTGAAAGAGATGAGTCAACTATATCCTAAAAGTATGAAAACCACTCTTTTTTGCCTTTTATTTTTAAGTTATTTGGAAATATTTCATAATAATGAAATATATAGAGACTAATACAGTCAGCTTCTAATATACCCAATAGTCAACCTAAGAAATAAAATATTATTGGCACACTGTGTCCTTCTCCCAATCTTGTCCTCCCTGTAGAGGTACCTGGATTCAGTGTTATTAATTCCATGCATTTCTTCACATTTTACTTCATATACGTGCATCCTTAAATTTTTCTTTGCGTTTTTTGAAATTTATTTCAATGGTGTCCAAATGTGGCATTTTTTTTCTGGTTTCTTTTTTCTTTTTTAAGATTCGCACCTGAGCTAACATCTGTTGCCAATCTTTTTTTTTTTCTTTTTCTTCTTCTCCCCAAAGCCCCCCAGTACATAATTGTATATTGTAGTTATGGTCCTTCTGGTTGTGCTGTGTGGGACGCCACCTCAGCATGGCCTGATGAGCGGTGCTAAGTCCGCGCACAGGATCCGAACTGGTGAAACCCTGGGCCGCTGAAACAGAGCGCGCAAACTTAACCACCCACCCTACCACAGGGCCAGGCCCCTCTGGTTTCCTTTTTATTGCTTAATATTTTGTTGCGAGAATGAAGAATTGATATGTGCTTAGAAGTCCAGTGTATGAATACAGCACAATTTACTTATCCAGTCAACTATTAAGAGATATTTAGATTATTTCAACTTTTTTGAAGCAATGAGTGTTGAAATTAACTTTCATGTACATGTGACTGGTACACATATATGAGAGTTTCTGTAGGAAATACCCTTCATGGTGAAGTCACTAGGTAATATAGTATATGCATCTTTAAATTACTAGATATTGCCAATTTTTCTTCAAAGTGGTTGTCCTGATTTGCATTCCCACCATGAGGTTTCTGGTTTTTCTACATTCTTATGCCCCTTGGTATTGTCACGATTCAATTGTAAATAATTATATGGATGAGAAATGCTATCTCATTGTGATCTAAATCTGCATTTCCCTGGTTATTGATCAGGTAGGATACCTTTTAATATATTCACTGGCCAGATTGGCATGGAAATTATTATTCCCCAGTGTGCCCACTCCGATTTCTCAGACCCCATGAAAGTTGATATAAAGATCTAATATCTAAAGTTGTAAGATGTGCTATGGAAATTTTTCCTAAGTATGAGATTATTCCCTGAATCATTTAAATTATTTCTGGTCATTACAACATGATTCTTGCCAGCACTTCAGTTGTGCCATGCTCAGTTGTGGCAGTCTTAGCGTTTCCTTCTCTGGTTTTTCTAGTTGTAGAAAGAACAACAAAAAACCTTAAGTCATCGCAACTAGAAGACAGGCTACATTATGAGGAAGAATAGAACATTACTCTGGCAAGGATTGGCTAATAATAGCAGGATTTGGTGAGCTCCAAAGAGCTCAGTGTGTTATATGTAAAAATGCTGCAGGATTTTTGTTTATTTGACTAAACCTGGTGATGGAATCTCCATTATTAGGAATTTTCAAAGTGGCTTAGATAAGAGTTCAAACAGTGTGATTAACAATCTGACTGTGCCAGTGCTATGCTCAGGGATCGAACCAGATAATTTTGAGGGTCCATCTTCCCTTTGTTCTGTGTCTCAGTGAGGAACCCATCCAGATTCTTTCCACTGCCAATAAGGAAATTTACCAAAAAAAAATTTGTTATGTTTTCTAGACAGGTAATGAGTAAAATTGTATCTTTTACAAATGCATCATCAGTAAACTATTTCTTATAGAAGAAGTAGGAAAAATTCCCCTTAATCTATTCTTGGTGCTAAATGGGTGTGACTTTGAGCCCAGGGAATATATTTTCTGCCCGTTCCTTAATTTGAATTATCATTTGCCAAGCTGTATTACAGTATGCCACCTATCTCCACTCACAGCTCTGGATCATCCATACTTGTAGCTCCACTTAAAAGATTTCACGAATTATTGGGCTGGAGTGTTTCAGTGCTCTTCCTCTGATAGTCCAAGTAAAACATAGCTGATGTAAGTAATCCAATTTATAATTCATTTGGGAATGTACAGCTGGTCACTTTTGGGGGGAAATGCTGTGGTTATCTAAGTTTACATTACTTTGGAAAGATTTTATTTCATAAAAACTGCAAACCTGAGAAGGGGGCCATTTAGTTCAAGTTTGACAACAGAAAATTGCTCCTTATCGGCCTTGATTATTGCTTTCAGTTGATTTCTCTATGACTCAAGGACTAGAAGCTTTCTACCACTTCCTTTGGTGGAAAAACTTCTAAATCTAAGAGATTAAATCATGGGAAGTTTGCTTCACATTCAGACTAAATTACCTCATTTATTATTCAGAAGACCCTTATCCTTGTCTTTGCGCTTCTTAGATGTTTGTTAAACCCGCTAGTCAATATAACCAGACCACAGATGTGGGGTTTTAGAATAATGGACATGTCATTTTGATAGTTGGTATTGCTTTCCGTTGGGCTTATTTAGAGGTGTGTGTGTGCATGCCTGTTTTGTATTTGTCCTGAGATGAGCAAAAATGGAAGTAGTGTTTTTAAGGTGAATTTTCTCACCTACCATAGCCAGTTGTGAACATCTTCCTCTTTCTTTATTTGTAAGGCCTGCTCTTTCACTGTGCCTCTGATGGGATCTTTCTGTGCGTCCTGTTGCAAAGGTGTGTAGCTTGTTTGCTGTCCTGCAGCTTAGGTCTCTAGATCTTCCTTACTCACACCAGCTCTTGTCTCCCTCCAGGTTATCCAGGCTGTCTTTTTTGGCATCTGTGTGCTGAGCGATCTTTCCAGTCTTCTGACCAGAGGAAGTGGGAACCAAGAACAAGAGAGGCAACTCAAGAAGCTCATCTCTCTGCGGGACTGGATGTTAGCCGTACTGGCCTTTCCTGTTGGGGTTGTGAGTATGATGTGGAATGCATTTAACCACAAAAGAAACAGGTCTTGTTTCAGGCTTCTAAGAGAGAAAAGGGCTCATTGCAGGACGTTTCTGTATTAGTTTGCTAGGACTGCCATCACAGAACACCAGAGACTGGGGGCTTCAACAACAGGAATTTATTTCCTCACCGTTCTGGAGGCTGGAAGTGTGAAATCAAGGTGCCCGCAGGGTTGGTTCCCTCTGAGGCCTCCCTCCTTGGCGTGTGGATGGCCTCCTCTTCCCTATGTCTTCACATTCTCTTCCCTCTGTGTGGGTCCGTGTCTTAATCTTCTCTTCCTGTCAGGACCTCACTCATATTGGATAAGAACCCCTCGATGACCTCATTTACCCTTAGTTGCCTCTTTAACGGCCCTACATCCAAATACAGGCTGAGGTACCAGTTGTGAGGACTTCAGCATATGAATTTTGAGGGGACACAATTCAATCCATAAAGCTTTCTTAAGCAGCCCAAACTTGAAATATGTGGTCCTAGGGTCTATGACCATTCCAGTACTTTTGAACTTGAGAGAGGAAGTAGCCTTAGCTCATACTTCTTCAGTTACCCAACTGTGCCATTAGCTAACATCACTTAAGTAAACGCTGCTTAATGTTTGGGTCTGTTCTGGCTTCATTGATTTTCGTTGTTTTCAGTTAGATTTCCTCCATAACTTAACTTCCTTCACAAGTCTGTTAATCATCTATTGTCTGTACATAAACAACGTTTCTTTAAAGGGCCAGGGCTCCATGAGATTCTGTAGATTTTAACCTCTGTATAGCCAGGAGAAGAATGAGAGAACTCTGGTGAATCTCAGCTGTGAGGACAAGTAAGAGTGTGTTACCTGATTCAAATTCAGACCTTTTGTGTGTCAGCTGATTTCTGCAAAAAAACAGAAGCCCAAGTGACCTGGGCCAGCACATGTACCAAGTCCAAGGTCCATTGTAGGCAGAGTCAGAAAGTTGTTTTTTAAATCCTTCCAATGGCTCCTCTTTATATTTGCTGGATCTATAGGCGGCGGAAGCCTCTATATGCGTGTTCTAAGACCAATCAGTGGTCACCCAGACTATCACTGAATTGCTTTTTCTATGTACTGAGTCATATTTTCTTGGACAAAATAGCCCTTAGCTCTTGACCACACAAGAGGAGTACTATAATCTGATCCCATTCTTCTGCTCATTCCCTCATCCTTATCCTCTGAAAACTCAAATGGTCCTCAGATTGAAGCTATCTAACAAATCTCTCAAATTCTGTTGCTTCACATAATAGAGTTATATGCTTTATGTATTATTTAATATTTCCTTTTTTGGACTTGCCTTATAAAATTCAAATACTGTGTATCAGAACAGTCATCTAAGAGAAAATTTCCCTTGGTATAAAGAGTGAATACTTAGACTTTCTGCATGAAAGAGTCATGCAGATAATCCAAGCCTCTGTATTTTTTGTTTTTTTAACCCGCTTACTCCCTTGGAATTTCTGTAGGCAGGTCATCACCTCTGGAAGTCTTCCTTACCTAGATGGATACAAAGTCACACCGTACAAAAGGAAACAGGAATATGACGATAGTAACTTCTTTTCCCCTGTCTCTGCCTCTTCTTCTGTTGTGTGGAGTCAATCTGTGTCTCCAGGGCTGAAATTGTGCATTTTGCCCCTCTCGTCAAAGGCTCGTTGCGTATGCCCTTTAGACGTCTTGATGTAACTTTGGCTGGAAACTTTTTGCTCCTGCTTGAGACTTGAGATATTTGTCGGCTTTCAGTGTCCTTCCTGAATTTAGGCCATGTGTGCTTCATTGTTTGTAAAAAGAATAGATTCCTTTTTGTTTTTTACTTTAGATATTTTCCTCCACGCTTAACTACGTTTGTTGTTTTCTCTGTATTTTGAAAGAGAGAAGTAATAATACTGTTAATATCACCCCCCCCCCCCCGGCTTGTTTTAACCAGAAGTCATAACATCACATCTTCCTTACATCCATAGGCACCTTCCCTGGATGATGAGCTTCACAGAAGAATTTAGAGAATAAATAATGAATCAGAGATATACGTCTTCGCCGATTTCTTTAACTCTTATTTTTTTCTTGCCCACTGCTATGTTGTAGTCAATATTTGCCTTTTTCATAATCTTGTCTCTTATTATGAGTCACTTTCCCTTTTATAGTCATTAACTTTTTATTTTTCCTGAACTTTCTGAAGTCTCTCTGTTACATTTCTCCCTCTTTATCTTTCTTTCTGACTCTCTCTTTAGTATTAAGAGGAATCCTGACCAACATTCTCCAGGAATCTCTGTACATTTCCCACCGTTTCTGTCTTACTTTGTCATTGGACCTTTTGTATCCATATACCTAATTTCTACCTGATTTCTCACTCTATTACACAGAAATTCATTCTGAGGCAAAAACTCCCTGATAAATGGCTTCTTCCCGGACCACATTAATTTTATTTCAAAGTTGTATTTACAGAGTATATGAATTTGGCTCTTTATAAGCATTTTAATGCAGCTGCTCAGTGGACTCTGGAACTCCACTGTAGTTTTATCTTTATCGCAATAGATTTTCCTCCTGATTAAAATTTGAACCCTTCCTGGACCAATGCCACTAGGAAGCCCTTAGAGAGGTGTCATCTTTTCTCTTCCTGTGGCTTCTGGCCCTGGAGGAGGTGTCCGGCCTGAAGGGTGCACTCCCTCAGAAGGATGGGAATGGCGTTAATGCCCAGGACCCAATGGACATATCTTTACACCTGCTGGAGTCTGTAGTGCCAGCATGTTTATCATGTGTGCAAATGATGGGTTATAACATTTGTGATTAAACACCTTTTACCCTGTTGGTTGACACAGTCAGAATCCTAAAGGGAAGTACATCTAGCACTCTCCCTGCACCAGAGACCCCTGGGCGTAGCTTGAGTTTCCTAAGGAGGAAGGCGCAGAGCCCCCATGGAGAACCCCCTCTGGTCCCCAGAGGCCTCCCGGCTCAGCTCTGACTGCCAGGTGACCGCCAGCCTCGCAGAGGTCCTCCCCGGCTGCTTTCTCCTGGCTTCTTCTGCCCCACATCTTTTGTTTGTCAGCCAGAAGTTTGCCAGGAAAGCAATGTTATTTTTGCTTCCTGGTGCAGGGCATAAAAAGAGGGCAGAGTGGCTGCTGAATATATCACCTCTGCTCGAATTTTCCTGAAGAGACCTCTTAGCCCTGAGCTTTTCCTGGCACTCGCATTCTCCCTCTCTCTCACCTTAGCTGCAGCTATGGTAGCAAGAAAGACATGGGCAGGTTATCTGGGATTTGTATTTTCCACGCTAATGCTTCCTCCAATAAAAAGGTTAACTGAGAGTTGACAGTAATTGCTTTATGGGGGCATGAAGCACTAAATATGATTTTGTGACCCATGGACCTGCTGCGTCTTCTTCATGGGCTCTATCTCAAGGATATATAAAAATAGGGAAGCATTCCAATCAAAGATAATTGGAGTAAAGTTTTGTTTGAGCATAACCTTGAAGAAATGGGGCAGAGTTGCTTGAGTGAACATAGCGTGTATCATTTTGATTGGTGTGGATTCCCATAAATGCAAAGCTGGCCTTGATTAGTAACACTAATGGCCGGAAACCACCGCCACTCCCAAGCCTTGCAACTCATTTTGCAGGAATAACCCATGGGAGGCTCTTCTTACCATGTGCAGTTTATTTCTGAACCCTGTCACCCTTTTAAAGAAGCATTACAAATAATTCTATGACATTATGTGGTCTGGAAGCACTGAAGTTTATTAGGAGCAATCAAGCCAGGAATGTCTTTTGTCTCCTGTGAGTTGGTTGACTTTTGTGCTGGCAGATACTCTTCTAGTTAAGAGCATAGGCTAAGGCTTTCAATCAAAAAGAAAAGGTGATGCAGAAAAAGAGGAAGAGTAGCAAAAAAGTGAATATATTGAGTATGAAATTGCCCCTCTCGAAAATCCTAAATGTATCTCCAGCCGCTATCCAAAGCAGCGTCTTTAATGACAAAGGACAGTGATACATTTTCCACCCATGCAAGTCAACGCATCCCGTTCGTTTGCAGCTGCTCAGCTTGTACAATGCACACAGTCAAACCTCATCACCTCCCTAGTCCTCCTTTTTCCCTGGTGTCACTTGGGTTGCTCTAGACCAGAGACTGGGCTGCCGCCAAACTGACCTTGATCCATCCCCTGGTGAAGATGAGGATGCCCCTTTCTTAACAGAGAGGGAGTGGGTCTGAGAAGGCCCTGGAAGTCTGGATCTGTTCTAACCTGGGATGGACATCGGGGGATCCAGAGCAAACCAGCATGTGCCAGGATGAGCTTTTCTGGAATTTGGTCTTCTTATCTGAGTTTAATCTCAGAGCTATTTGTTAAGTAACCATTTCTGGTGCTATAATCATCTTGTAGACGTGGTGAAGATTAGATATGTACCAACATAGTCTAGAATCCTTGAAAACTTGTTTTCGCTTGTGATGAGTACTGTAGGGTGCCTGCTTCCATAGGAAATATATGGAAAATAGAGCTTGAAATCTCAAATACAAGCTCAAAGAAAAAGTATCCAGCAATTATCTTCAAAAACTGATTGTTCAAAGTCCTCATTTATTGACATGCTAGCTAACTCTAAGCCATCCTTCAGAAAAATTTTGCAATGCATATAAATTTAGATTGTCGCACCCCTACAACTTAAAAAGCTTTATTTTCATTTCTGGTTTTTGAATGTAGGAGATTGGCTTAAGTGCAAAGCAAACATATTAATTAATATTAGTTACTAATGTTAATATGACACATAAAGGAAGGGAATTTCACTGTATTTGAGATTGTAAATAAAAGCAAATGCATATCCTTCTGTTCTGATGTTAAAGAGAAATGTTTAAAAAACACGTTGTTTACTTTGTTCTACAAACTCTGGATTTAATATAAAAATACACTTAATATCTGCTGATCCTCTCTTTATTAAGTTTTCACACAGGTACCAAGAATCAAACTCTTTTTTTATTTTCTTTAAGCCTTCATTGATGTTTTAAGTTTCTTCAGATGCTCTTTTTCTTTCTCTTCACCTTTGAAGTTAAAAATATAATATCTGCTAGGTCATATTTTGCAGTAAAACCCAGTTCGTTTTGGGTTGAATCAATCATGTGCTTTCACTGTGCACTGAAATTAGCGTGAGTTGAGTTGGCTAAGAGGGCAGGTTCATAGATGAGGATTCATTCAAGATCAGTAAGGAAGATGAACCTTTCCCTGCCATACCAAGAGAAATGCTCAGAAGACTGTGATTACCCAACCTAGGAAAACAGTCTTACAATCATTCTTTTGATAGCCTTTTCAAAAGACCAAGGACACAATGTGATTAGATGGATGTACCTGATAGGGAATCAGGTTGCTTCTCAATGGTCTTAGATGTTCTTCTCCCCTAAATGGAAACCCAAGATCTTCTGCCTAGCTGACCTATTTAATTTGTACACGTTTCTGCTAACTCAGAGTAGTCAGCTTTCTCAATACTTGTAAGACACATTTGTTCAGTATAAAAAATAATCACACTTTCATAAAATTTTTCTGTAGGTGCCCACTTTTAATCATGCTACAGTGTAAACCACACATTTATATCCAGAAAATTCAAAGGGTGGAAGTTCTAGTCAAGTCAATCATTATTTGTGGTACATGGAGCTTACTAGGTAGCAAGAACAGAGGGCTACAGCCCAAATGGCAGAGACTAGGAATTGGTCTTGTCTTTCAAGGGTCTCACAGTCTGGAGAAGATGGCTTTATTTTATAGGTTCTATCAACAAGTAAACTCAAAGGGGACATGATCAGTATAACAATACATGTGTCTAAGGTACAGAAGTGGCCCAGAAGAGGAAGGGACTGATATTAGTGAGTAGGAGGTCCTGGAAGACTTCCCAGAAATGAAGATATCTGAGGTCTGTTTTGAAAAATGACTAAAATCTTATTGGATGTATAAGTTAATGATGCTTTCAGCTGCAAGTAACCGAATACCCCCAGATATCCACCTGGCTCACTCTTTCACTTCATTCAAGTCTCTGGTTCAATGATTACCACTCAGAAAAGCTCCCATGAATAGCCTATGTAAGTTAGTCTTCCCTTACATTGCTTTATATTCTCCATAATGATTACCACTACCTGGCACATTATATGTTTATTCTTTTGTTTCTGGAGTATATGTCTGCTCTGACTTGGTACACGCCCAGGGAGGCTCTGTGTTTGATTTACTACAGTAGCCCAAGCATCAGGAGCAGTGTCTAAATAATACAGTATTTGTTGAGTAAATATTCAACCAATGGTGGCTTAAGCAGTAAAGATATTTAATATCTCACAAAATGAGAAGCCTGGAAGCAGGTAGTTTCAGGGTGGTATCGCTCAGTGTTATGAGACTTGGGCATTTGCTGTTTTCCAGTTTTCTATCTCCAGAGTGTTAGCTTTTGGTCCTCAGACTTGCCACCTACAGTCTAAAGAGGGTTAATGAACAGCAAACATCACATCCTTCACACCCATGTTCAAGGCAGGGAGAGGAAGGCGCTCTTCACGTTGCCCTCCCCAACTGGTCCTCTCTTCGTCAGGCAAATGACTCCTTCCCAGAAGTTCCGCCAGCAGACTTCCCTGTAGGTCTCCAGGATTAGGACCGTCCCGTGGCTGGAACCAGCTGCAGGGGAGGCGGGAAATCAAGTAGAACAGAAGCGGATGAGGTTACCATGAGGGCTTAAACTAATTATTGTGACTTATCTTTATGGGTTACACTCATTGCTGCCCAAAGCAAACCAGGAGTTTCAAGAAACAGTATAAAGTAACAAATTTCGAGAGTAACAGTTAAATATAAAATAAATAAAAACTAATAGGATTTTAGGTAACATATTGTTTGTTTTTCTATGTTGATACGAAAAATAGATACAGTAAAACTGATGAGACTAATCGTGGACGTTTTCTATCTTAGCTTATTTTTTCCATTCTTTCTCTGCCAATACCATTCTTTCATGCATTCTCGTCAGTATTATCATAACCCACTATCTAAACCTGACATTTGAAGAAGTGCTTCTCAAAGAAGGTCAGATAATGTTACACAACTGACTAAATGGTTTATGTTCAGTTTCTGAAACTCCATAGGAAATTCGTCGGAGGTGGGTCTGCTTTAGACCACCAACTCAGAGAGGTGGACAACTGGGGTCACTGAGTACAATCTTCCTCTAATAGCTCTCTGAAAATTGTAGAGAATTATCATGCCTTGTGTATCATTTCACAGAGTTCTTACTCTCTCTGGGCCAAAAGGCCACAAAAAGATCTCAGAAAATGAAGATATCGTCCCATATTTATATCCATGTGTAAAATATGTATTTGAAATATGTGATGAAGAAAAGGTAGAATTGATCTTCGGTAGCATTAATAATGTGAATCATATTATAAAATAGACATATGATTCCTGTTCTCAAAAATATGACCTCCAAAACCAGGCTCTTTCGTATGCCCTTGTTTGAGGGACCAGAAACAAGATGCAATATTAGTTGTTGATTAAAAAAGAAATGAAAAGAAAAAAGGAACACCGTTCATTTTTCTTCTTCCTTCTTTCTGTGTCTCCCTCCCTCCCCATCTCTCCCTGTCTATCCCTGTCTCTCTCTTACCCTTCCTCCCTTATCCTTCTAGCCCAACCATCTCCTTCTTTATAGGAAAAGAAACAGCAGTTTGCTGTGTGGGTGTTCCTGAAATTATTACAGTCCCTGTGGGCATTTTGAGGTAACTCTTACCTGTTTTAGCTGGATCAAAATGTGCTGTGTTACATCAGCCAATATCAAAACGGACAGTTCCCCCCAAGGAAAGAGCTGATGGGCTTTTTTTTTTTTTTTTTTTTTTTGAGGAAGATAAGCCCTGAGCTAACTCCTGCCAATCCTCCTCTTTTTGCTGAGGAAGACTGGCACTGAGCTAATCCGTGCCCATCTTCCTCTACTTTATATGTGGGATCCGAACCGGTGAATCCCGGGCCGCCGAAGCAGAACGTGCAAACATAACTGCTGAGCCGAGCTGGTGGACTTTGCACTGACACAACATTTATCAACTTTTAGTTTTGCCCGAGCAATTACCATGCTAATGATTTGCTCATTTTACCACAAATAGCCAGCCCTGGATAGGACTTTCATTCATCCTGCCTTTGTATAACTCGTAGGAACAAAAGTTGGAGCGTACTTCTGACTCTGGGGGATGCGTTCCAGAGACACAGGTGGGAAGGTGGGCAGAGGAGGAGATGGGAGATGGTGAGGGGAGAGAGAGTGTGCGGCCTCGGTTCACAGGTCGCCCTGCTAGCCCTGCTCGCTGGCTCGTAAGCGCCTCCAGAGCCACTTTTCAAGAAGGGTCCCTCTTCAGATTGTCCCTTTGTCCTGTAGGTTAGGTCTATGTTTCACTTACACGTAGCGACAGACATCCGCTAGGAGTTCAGGCTGCCCTGGCGAAGTTTGGTGTGACATGAGGAAAACGCAGGGAGCTGTGTCACAGAGGGAACCAGGAGGCACCCTTCCCTCCCAGTCTGCTCCTGTGTTTCTCCGGGTTCTCCACCACTTTGTTCATTAGTCAGCGTGGGGAGACTGGGGAGGGATGTGAAATAAGAAAGAACCCAAACATAAACGAGTGGTGCACCCGAGTTAGAAGGCGCGAACCTTCCTAGGCAGAGAGGATTTTTCTGCGCCTGTCTTTATCATCTCACCCCTTATCTATGTAGGGCCTGCTCCCTTTGCACCGTAAAAGTCAACTACAAAGTTAGAATGACTGCCTTCATGCAAGCGCACTCCCACGCACATGCCCAGGGGATTGCTGTCAAAGTTAGCACTGAGCGCACGAAGGAAAACAGCCCCTATGTTCATTGATGTAATGACATCTTTGTCTGAATATTCAGAAATGCTGCCTGTACCCCCATGCCCCACAAATCACCTGAGAATTCTAAAGCAGACACCATATACCCAGAGGCATTTGCTGGTGCCTTTCTTTTATTATTATTATTATTATTATTTTATTGAGGTCACGTTGGTTAATAACGTGGTGTAAGTTTCAGGTATACATCATTATATATCAGTTTCTATATAGACTGCATCGTGCTCACCACCAATAGTCCAGTTTTCATCTGTCATCATACATGTATGCCCCTTTATCCCTTTCGTCCCCCCCACCCCCACCCAAGCCACCTTCCCCTCTGGTAACCACTCTTCTGCTCTCTTTGTCCACGTGTTTGTTTATCTTCCACAAAGGAGTGAAATCATGCACTATTTGTCTTTCTCTGTCTGGCTTATTTCACTTAGCACCACACCCTTATGGTCCATCCGTGTTGTTGCAAATGGCTCGTGCCTTTCCTTTTGGTTCCAGCCTGTGGATGAGCGGTCCCATTTTTACTTTCTGAGACTTCTCACCATCTCCCTCCCCATTTGGGCAAGACCCACAAACAACTGAAGAGGCTGCAAAATCTCCTCAGGAGAGCTGATTCCTGCTGCGTGCTCCTGTGGGCCACACGCTGCGCTGAAGGCCTTGCTCTAATGATTTAGTTAATGCTCATAGCCCCAAAAGGTAGGAATTTCATTATCCTCACTTTAGAGAAGATGCTTCCATGTTACAGTTTTACAGATGGGGTTGCCAGTGTCTAGGTCACTTGCCTGAGGTCCACCTCTAGTGAACGGGCACCCAGGCTTGCACCCAAACACTCTGACCAGTGGAGTACTTGCTCTGAGCAGGTATGCCTCACTTTTTGACAAGCCAAACCTAACTTTGCTTCTCATCATTCGCCCAATAGACATTTTCAGCTGGGGACATAAAGTCTGAGCCAACCACAATTTCAAATTTAGCAGGATGCATCAACAGAAGAAAGGGAGTGGTACAGAATCTGGATCAAAAGTCACTGTTTATCTTTTTCCTTGAGGCTATTCAACAAAGGACTGTTCATTTGTGCTTAATACTCAGCGGTTTTATAGTTTTACAGGCCAGTTTGCAAAGTACAGATTTTGGCAACAAAAGAACATCTTCCCGCCTTGTCTTCTCATTTCAACAATTGAGTACAGATTTAGGCTACCACATATTTACCCAATATGCTTGTTTTCAATATGTGAAAATAAGGTTTTATCAGGAGAATTAGCTACATTTTAAAAAATGGTTACAGTATCATCTGTAAATCATCTCTGGGCTTCCAAGAAGGCATAGTGCATAGCTGCACAATTGCAGAAGAATATTTTTGGCAAAAAATGATCCAATGCGTTCCACATGGGTATCCTAACAAATGAACTGTGCCTACCCAGCGAAATATTTTACTAAGAATTGCCGAAAGCCACTTTGTTCTGCTTTATCAAGAGAGATTTTTCAGTCAAATCTGCTTTTCTTTTTAAATTTATAATTTATCCCTCTACCTATTTTCCAACACAGATTTGAGGTGGTCTGAGTCAAATCAGTTCATCAAAGGGGCCCAGCTTCCTGGGCCTCAGCGTGGTTCAGCGAAGGCCGCCTGTAAATAATCTTGCCTGTTTGGATCAGTGTCTTCTATATTATGTGCAGGATACATAGAGGAACCTTCTTAGGCATTTTATCTTGAAAAGTAAGGCAAGTCAGGAAAATGGGGAGAAATGTTCCATAGACCTTCTGGCAAATTCAGCTACAATTGAGTGCCACATGCTAGTTGCTATATTAAATGCTCTCACAGGGTTTCACTTACTCTAGAAGGTGATCTTATAAAAACAAGAGGCAGTAGACAATAGGAAGCTCGCTCATGCCTGCAGACTGTGACGTCACCAAGAGGACAGGTGCACTGAGGTGGGAAGGCTGCTGCCATGCTGGCTGTAACAGCTGGTTCTTGCTTTGCTCACACCTACCTAGAGAATAATGCCTGCCATGTTGGACCCGGTCAGTAGTGATGGATGAATGCTCTGTGCTTGAAGAACTTCCAAGAGAAAGGGTAGGAAGGGAGGAAAAAGAAAGAAAGCCCTAGGGAGAAGAGTCATCCACACGAAGTAGATTTTCTTTGGGTCTCTTAGCTCTTTGTGCAGATCAGCATCAAGCAGATGTTTCTCCCCAGTCTTGGCACCTTCCTGAACTGCTGATCCTCAAAGTAATTACTTTAGTGCAACCTCCTAGCTCTTAATTGAACAGAAGCATTCTTCAACCAAAAGAAATCCGTAATTGGTCAGCAATTCTAGAGGGGGCCTAAGCAGATGACAAGGAATTCAGGTAGACCAAATGCCAAGAAAGATTCCAGAAGTGCCATCAGGCAGACAGATGGCTGACCTCAGGCTGCATATATGCATTTTTGAGCCATTTTGGTTCCAAAGATGACCATTTGCTTGTTGACTCCTTCCACTTTATTTATAGAGCGCCGATCCCCATAGAATAATTTAAAAGATAAAAGCAAAAGTCCACACACAGTTCTACAAGGAGCATTTATTACTTTTATAATAAGAAAACCGCGTATGTGTTCTCATTTGCAAATGTATTCTCATTTAGAGACTTTCATGCTTTAAATTTAAAGCATAAATTGTTCATAGAGGAAAAAAGAAGGAACATTGATACGCTGTTGATATGATACTAAAAAACAAATCCACTGATCTCTCCAAAAGTTCTTTTCCCATTGCAAACCTTGGACAGAATTTGCTACGTATTTTCATACTTTGTTTATGCGTATAATCTAAAATA